GATAAGCAATGAAAATACCATCAGTCATTGCCAACTGTCTCCTGGAACACAAAATTGCCCCCTTGAGAAACAGTAGTCTAAATCAATACTCCGCGCTTTTTCACCACAGGATTTATTGGACAATATTGACATCTCCATATTTTCTAAAAATGTCCTCTTTTACTTCTAACTTTTATGAAGCTGTACTACTTTGATTCTGCTCCTGCCGTTCTTTTTTCTCCTCAGGCTATCTTCTCTGGAAAGTTAGCAAATTATCTTAGAACAAGCTTAAGAACTTGCATTACAAACTCTGGCCCTTGGCCCTGACAAGATGTTGAGTTGCTTCATCTATGCAACTGGAATAATAAAGTTTCTTTTAGGGTGATACAAATGCTTAGTGAAAGAAAAGGAAATACAGCTAAACTGAGTCTATAAAATTCTATTTCTAGTTATGTTTACTTCATGCTCAATTAATTTCCATATGTTGCTTTATAATGTACATGATGTTAGTACATTTTATGTATGTAAATAAGTAGAGGTACAAAAGTAAAAATCTCATACTCGAAATACAGTCTTTTGTGATTGCTATATGATCAAAACATGTTGGAGACAACTTGTGCTGTATTCTGTTTACTCCGAACACACTAGGTATTTGAACAAGATCCACCATTGTAAATCATTACTTTATCCTTCCTATCTCCATGTTCAAAATCTGACAGGGAACAGGAAATTCCATCCACCAAGGAAAACACATCAAGAGTCCTAAGACTGGTATACACAGCCTTCTACCTACTGCCCAGTCTCGCGTGTCAGACCCACCTTCTGCAGCAACCCTACTCCATGCATTCGCTCTCCTACTTAATTAGGATGTTTGAGCAGACAGAGCTATGATTTATTATTCATTTTGCCTTACAAGTGCACCCATTATACTCTTAAACACTGTATTTGTAGAACTAAGCTATTATTTTTAAAATAATTTATTCATATACTGTGATTATAACAAAAATACATATTTACTTTTACTATGGTTTCAATGCACGTCTTTCACATTAGATGAAGACCTTCTTGAAACTAAATACAACTCACTATAAGATGAAAACAGCTTTCAATAAAGAGTATTAAATAAACCAACAGTCACAGTCAATAATCAAACTCAGCGTTTTCAGTGTGTACTTGCGATGATATCTGAGCATGAGCTCAGGAAAATAATAAAAAATTAAAAGTGGATTGTAAATCTCCTGACCCCAAATTGCAGAAACCTACCTTACTAAAGGTTTCTGAAGCCAAGTTTAGAAGCTGAGTAAGATGTTTGTAGACGCCAGTGGACACCATGAAAGTTTAATGATAGGTATATGAAAACAAAGAGCTGTGTAAGTTAAAATTTACAGTCACGAATTTTGTGCTAATGGATCTAAAAACAGAACAGTTTTCTTTATATAAAAATGCTTCCCTACTTACAATATTAAATAAAATGCAATGTTGTATTTACAATGCTGAGGAAAGAAAAAGTAAATCTATAGCTGGGAAAAAAAGTATTTTTTGTTGTTTTATTTTATTTTATTTTGCTTTGTGGTATCTTCACATTTGGAATCAACATGATATGAATAATTCTTATTAAAGCATAATATAAAACATTAAACTAATGTGAAATTATATGAAAATAAAAATAAAGTATATCATTTGTTATATCAAATAACATTAGTTTCACCTTAATATAGACCTATGTAGTTTTATTTCATAGACTTTAAACCACAACTGAGCTAAGTGAAAAATACCTAATTGGAATATTAAGAAATACAGAATGGAAAAATTTGGGCATAAAGTAAATTTTTAAAAATCAAGTTATAGATGAAAACAAAAATATATGTAAACACTGAAACTACATATTAATTTACAAAAGTGAATAAGAAATATATTATGCAAAATCAAAATTAGTAGATGCCTTAATATGAAAGATAATGTAAACTTGTAAAAAATTATTATATCTTCTTGCAAAAGAAAAATAATATATATCTTATATTTTAAAATAGTTTACATCTGCGTGCAAATCAAATTGACTCAGAATTAAATAGCATCTTCTTACCTTAATAGCAGTTCCCTTATTTTGTGAAATCATACGTGATTGATTACTCAAACTGACCACTTTTCCAGATTTCCAATGATATCCACTTGACCTTAAATATATATAAGTAGGACAAAATGTAATTACTGAAAGGAAAGCGCTTCTTATTTTAAATAAATGAATACATTTTTTCCGTTTCAGGAAATAGAAATTCAGATATTCACATATAACAAACCAGGACAAAATGAACATGAAATGTTAATAATTCTCCAGTATCTTCAGTAATTTTAAACTATCACTTGTTATTTGTGAATTTTGTCAAAGAAAATTAAAAATAAAATGTTCAAACCCATCTGAAACATTCCAATTTTTGACATAAACAGAGATGAAAAGTAGTTTTATTGATTTATAGGGAACTTAACAGATCATCATGCAGTTTTGAAAGCTGAACACTCACAAGTGTAAACAGGAAAAGGAAGCAAAATCATACATACAAATATTCATCACATCTGCTAAGTGATGAATTTCCTGGTAAGATTTCAAATGAGCGCCACATTGAAAGGTGACAGAGCTTGCAAAGAAAGCAAATTTTAATTTTACAGTTTTCAAAGTACTTATAGTTGTCCCTCACAAAGTCTTTTTAAAAATGATTTGAAGATCCAATTCCCGCTTTGAAATAATGAGACAATTTGTTCAGTATCACACAGATAACAAAGTCAAAATTTACCACAGTGGGCTTCTATCCTTTTGATCAGTAAGTAACAGGTTCTCATTCTGGTTATGGCACAATACTACTTGTGAACCTCAGAAAAGACAAGTATTCTGAAAATTCAGTCAGTTCAAATTGTTTTAAATCTAGAAAAGGCTCTGTAGTTGCAAAAGAAAATTCAGAAATTCTCTAAAAAGTGTACCCACTTTATTTCCTCCTTTTCTCTATTCCTTGATGACTGGAATTCTTGTAATTTCTTTTCCATCTTTTGGTTCTCCAATTCTAATTGCAGTTTTTCCATTTGCAGTTCTTGAATATTTCTGAATATGTGAGATTTAAATGTAGAATGTTTATTGGAAGTAAACAAACAGAGCCTAAGACAAAATTACTTAATCTTTTGCTCTTAAAATTATCATTAATAGCTAGATAATGAACTGCTTAAACGACTCCTCTGCATTTCTTTAAATATAGTTATAAAGTTAGCATTTGCATTTCATTAATATTCTCTGTAATCTGTGTATCTTTTCAAATCTTACAGACTGTTTTCCTATTCTGCAGCTATGGGTTTAAAAATCATGATTCACTTTATGTATGAGCCACATCTATGCAAATATCTGTTACACAAAAAACAAAATTATTTTCTAATTTCTGTTCTGGCTTGCACTGACTCTCAGATAGAAGCTAACTTAATTATTTAACCTTTACTACCTATCATTAGTTTAAATACCTTTCTTCATTATTATTTTAGTGTTTTATCACATCCATGCAGCGTGAACACCCACAAACACAGTGACATGGAACCAAACTACGCACCTCTAATCTTGGATACTGAAGCAGAAAGATCACAAGGTCAAGAGCAGCTCATCGCAAAATAAAAAAATAAAAAGGGGCTGGGATGTAGCTTGGTAAGAAGACAGTAAATTCAATCTTGAGTAACACATACACACACACACACACACACACTCAAAGGAGATCAGAAAAGGGAATTAATTTATAGAAGTGGCAAGCCATCAAAAACAGCAAGTGGGCCAAATTTTTGTCCCAATTCAATACAAAGCAGATAGTTTAAAAGGGACAGGAGGCAAAGACGGTCCAGAGGGTTCAGATAACCAGGCCACAATACAAAGGGACAGTCATTACTTTCATTATATATACTTTAAAAAGAGAAATTCAGCTCTTACTACCCACAAGCTCTGTGAATGTGATAGGAGATGGGACGTGATGAATCTTCCAGAATAGGAATACAGGAAAGAGATTGAAACACAGAATGATGGTGCTACCACCAGAGAGAAACGAGGCCACCCAGACACACAGAAAGGACATATGCTTCAGCCCTGGGACTGCAGGAACAATTCTGAGAGTAAGTGAAGTCTGATGAGATCTGAAGGATAAAAGGACTGAGCTGGCCAAAGGAACATCAGCTAGAAAAGCAGGCAAGGACGGTGAGAAAAGCTAAGGCTAATTCTGCACAGACCACATCAGCACAACAAATGCAAGAGCTGAAAACAAGACTGAAATGAGTTGGAGCCCAGAAAGAGGCAGAAAGGAGTGGGAAAACACAAAAATGTCAGACAATGTGAGAAGAATTATGAAGACAATGTCAAGTGAAATAAGCTTGGAAATGGTGAGAAAGAAAGCCCCATAGATATTAGCATAACACCCTTGATCCTATCTTGGTCTTTGTGGGTTTGTGGATCATGGACGACCAAGAAGATTCTCAGGCCAGGAAAGAGTATCACTATCCCCATGGTATACAAGTTAGGCCTTGCCTTTCTCTCTAACTTGGTTCTGTAAATCTCAGCCAGCTGGATATGTCTGAAAGGTCCCCAAACTATGAAACATTTGTGCCTTTACAAAAGTTTCATTCAAGAATTACCTAACTAATAGCATCTCTCTGATAAAACCTTCATCACTCTTGCCGGTGGTTTGAACTATGTTCTCCTAGACCTGTGTGTCTACACATCACACCTTTCTTCAAATTATCTTGTCAGTGTAACTAAACTTCTTCACATATTCTGCAAGCTTCCGGAAGGCAGACCAGACTTCCTTCTACTGTATCCACTCACTCCTTAGAACAGTGTGTAGAACATGTGTATATAATGTTTTTGAACGAATATTTATAAGTATAGATATATAGAGTCCTGACATATCACTGAATTAAACAATGACCTTCCCATTATCTTTTGGAAAAAACAAAATGATAGTGCCAGCACTTGCTCAGGTCCCTTTATGACAAAAAAAAAATGGTACACCTAATAACAATAATGTCATCTATTTGCAGAACAGTTTCCAATTTTCAAAATGCCTCTATTTTTTTGGCTTTTGAGATAGGAACTCACTATGTAGTTCACACTGGCCTCAAACTCTAGGCAACCCTGCTTCAACCTCTCAAGTTTTGGAACTACAAATGTGTACAACTGCGCCCAGCTACACAATGTTTTATACCCAATAATTCTCAATATGAAGAGAGCATTATGAAAACACCAAAGATATTTAATAACCATGTGACTATTGACCAGGGCTACTGACCTTATCGAGGAACTTAAAAACTAACATTAAAAATCAATTATACATTTTGGTTCCCATTTACACTTTCTGTTTCTCACACCAGAGAAACTATTCAGTATTTACATGTGTGTCCTATTTATTTCACTTAAAAGTACGGCCTCCATGTGCATCCATTTAGCAATAAGTATCTATAGTTTATCTTTCTTTATGACTAAGTAGTTCTCCATTTTATATATTAAAAGAAAAAAGAAACACATCTTTATACAGTCACCAGGCACTTGGGCTGTTTCCAATATTTAGCTATTGCAAACTTGCCATGGGTGTGCATAGGGAAGCGGGTGGGGAGTGGTAAGGAAAGAAAGGAAAAGAAAAAATATGAGAAAAGGAAAAAATGGAAACAAGGTCTTGTAAATAGAGAGAGGCAAAGGAGTTGAAGGGAGGGCAGGAGAATGGGGAACAAAATAAGAACCAAGATATCAAACACACATATACAGGTACAAATTCCCAATGTACCAGTAAACTTAATGAAAAAAAAAAAATCAAGTTAGGGCCTGCGATTTAACTCAGTGGCTCCGTGCCTGAGTCTCAAGTGTAAGGTCCTGAGGTCCTGAGTTTGATCCCAAGTACCGGGAGGAAAAAAAAAAAAAAACTAAAATTAAAATCGACACTGTCCCCAATCTATGCTGGCTAACTCATGGTGATATCAGGGAGGAAGGCCCTCAAGATTTCCAGTGACTCTTGGTAATCTCAAAAGGAAACAGCATGCTGAGTCCCTCCATATTCATGAACTTTCTCAAGAAAGTCACAGAATACTCAGAATTGCCTGCCTTTGGATGAATGCACCTCCCAGTCAGTTTGAGTAGAGACATTCTTCCTGGAAAGATGTGTGCACTATAATTTCCTTTATAAAAAAAAGGCTAGGACAGTATGTTGAAGACCTCCTACTCTAATTTGAGTGTCTCTCTAAATGTATGGATGTTTCTTTTTAACTTTGAATAAAGGTCTAAAAATATCTTTAAATCTTGTTTGCATTACCTTGATAGTAAGTTACTCCAACCTTTATACATTTTCACTTTGATTCTTATGGAAAAATATTTTTGTCCGCATAAAAATTATTATAAATAATAATATGTAAAAACCTTCCTGGTTGTAGGTAAGAATTGTGAAGAAAGTGGAAATAAGAATTTATGAAATTTGAGTTTAAGCATTCTCATATAAAAATGATAATTTAATATACAATATATAACACTTTAACAACTATTCCTACTTATGAAATAAATATATATATACTTACTTATATTTTAGTTTTACAGAATTCCCAGATTTTCCCCATGGAAGAACTACAAAATCTTTGGTGTTCATGATGATTGTTAATTTTGGTAAAAAATATTCCACTTAGTAAAATTTTTCTGAAAAAACACCAAAAGAAAGGAATTATACCAGAGGTAAAGAAGTGAGTTACAAATTCTAAACTACAAATAATTCAGAAAAGCTGTGAAACAAAAATCTTTAGGAGGAAGAATGCTGGATCAAAGGTTAAATAGCAAAAAAAAAGGTTACATGTGTTAAGTAATAGTTATATAAGTATAACATATCTGATTAAACCAAAATTTCAGGAACATTTATTTATATATAACAAAAGACTGAGTAAATATTCTCTAAAGGTAAATAATGTATTTTTTAAAACAAGCTAAAACACATATTCTAGCTCATTCTATCATTAAGGTTATAAAAGTCTGTCTATAGCCATATTCTCCTTTGCAATGTTTAAGAAAATGACAGGCCACATAGTAACCCATGATTCCTTAAGATTATTTCATCTATTGCCATCATACCTATCTTAGATTGAGTAAATCCACTCTCTCATGTTTCCCCAATGACAAAAATCACCTAAATAATGTCTGTTCTCAGAACATACAGTGTATGAATATATATCAAGTATTGTTCTTATTAAAAATAATATACAAAGCTGTATATTGAAAAGAAAAAACCTTTTAGATGCAATACAAATGCCCTCCCAAAAGAAAACATTTTTACATATATGGTAATGTAAAATGAGAATTAAGGTATGTAATAGTTACTGAAAGGCATTCTAATATCCTCATTTATGGAAGCAAATTTTAATAATTCTCTTTGCTATGATCTGAAATTAGTGCATTTCAGAAAGAATTTTACATTGAAAAATGAAATAAAAATGATTTTCTTTTTAACTCTGAGCTAACCAGAAAATTGAATAGTTCAAAACACCGTTTCCTGAGTATCCAAATATTCATAGTTCTATAATAATTTACTCTCTAATGCTAAATTACTAAGTCACATGAATAACCACTATATTTTTATATGAATAAAAGTTTCTAAATTCCAAAAGCTCTTAAATATAATAAAGGTCATATTCTTAATTTTCCAAGTCATTTGATGGTGTTAAAGTATATATGGGTTCCTAAGCACTCACAACCCCAATAAATATTTATTAAACTTCTGCTATATTCAAGGCACCATGCTGAGAGGCATGGAGAAGGCAAGGCCTAAAGAGATTTGTTTTCTGGACTCAAATGGCTTACAGTCAAATAGCACATATAAGATCTCTGTATAGAACCATAAAATGAGGCAAAAAACATAAGGGCCATAAGATTTATAAATGCAATAATAGAGAAAGTGAGAAAAAGGAGAGAATTCAAGTTGGCTAACTTTTAAATGGAGTCGTGAAGGAGAAAGGTAGCTTCTTTTTTTTTTTTTTTTTTTTTTTTT